ATTAAAGAAAATATGCATAAAAGGTTTTTGTTGTCGCTGAACACTAATAAAAGACCACTGGACAATCAGGTTCAGGTTGATGCGGTCTACACCGACTTTAGTAAGGCTTTCGACAAAATTGATCATGGGATCTTGTTGAATAGGCTTGTTGAGGTTGGTGTGGGTGGCACCTTGCTGAACTGGATGGAGTCTTATTTATCCGACAGATCGCAGTGTGTTGAAGTTAACGGATTCACGTTTCACTATGATACCCTCAGGAGTACCTCAGGGATCACACTTGGGGCCTTTAATGTTTATAATTTATATTAATAAAATAAAAGAATGCCTTAATTACTGTAGTTTGTTAGGATATGCTGATGATTTTAAGCTATTTTTACCTATTCGTAATGTTACTGTCTATTGTCTAAAACTTCAGAACGATCTTGACGCTTTTATAATTTTTTGTAAAAACAATAATTTGTTTATTTATATCGACAAATGCCATATAATCACTTTTACTCGAAATAAACATCCTTTCCTATATCAATATAGTATTAATGACTTAATTTTGAATCGTAAAAATGTAATTAGAGACCTTGGAGTGATTTTTGATAGTAAAATGTTATTTGATGCCCATATTAATAATCTTATATCTAATACACTTAAGACGCTGGGTTTCAGTCGAAACAGTTCACTAATTCTAAAGCCATATTGCTTTTATATTACACATTTGTATTTGGTAAAATTAATTTTGCTTTCGTTGTATGGAATCCTCAATATAATATATACAGGGTAGCCCATCGAAAACGTACCACAAGGCATTACAGGGTAGTAATGAACTTTTCGGCAAAATACAAAAACAGGTAAAGTTTGCTTCTGAGGGGGACAACTTTTGGCGCAAAAAGCATAGCAAAATCTTCAACCCCCTAAGTGGGGGTGCCAACCCCAATTTTTTTTTAATGGGAATGGGGGTCAAGTGGGGGGGTCATTAGAAAGGGCTTTTAATGCTCTATACATCGATTCTTACTTTTTGAAAATCGATCCATTATTTTAGAAAATATGCAGCTTTGAAAATACGAACNGCATTTGCGGTCGGGGTAGACGACGGATGGGGCCCACCTACGAAGGCTGTCCAGGCCTACACGAGATGAGGCAGGATAAAGAGGGATAATCCCCCTCGATCCCAAATCATTGAGGCCAATTTCTAGCCATGGAATAATGGCGCGCGACGCTTATGCAATTTTTTGTAAAAAAAATAATATATTTATTAATATCGACAAATACCATATAATCACTTTTACTCGAAATAAACATCCTTTCCTATATCAATATAGTATTCATAACTTAATTTTGAATCGTAAAAATGAAATTAGAGACCTTGGAGTGATTTTTGATAGTAAAATGTTATTTGATGCCCATATTAATAAACTTATATCTAATACACGTAAGACGCTGGGTTTCATTATGAGGCAGTCGAAACAGTTCACTAATTCTAAAGCCATATTGCTTTTATATTACACATTTGTATTTAGTAAAATTAATTTTGCTTCCGTTGTATGGAATCCTCAATATAATATATATATATATTAGTCGTATTGAAATGATTCAACATAAATTTTTTAAAATTGTTTCTTTTAAGTGTGGACGAACTTTGAACGACAACAATTTTCATGGATTGTGCATGTGTTGAATATAATATTATAAGTTTAGCTAATAGGAGAATATTAGCGGATGTTATTAACCTGTATAAAATTATTAATGATAAAATCGACTGTGTCCAATTAATTAATAAAATATTTTTTAATATACCATGCAGGTCGTTCAGGTCCTTCGACTTATTTTTCATTCTTTTTAAGCATATCAATGCCTCCGCAAACTCTCCTGTGTGCAGAATGATGCGTTCTTATAACGATATTTGTAGCGGATTAGATTTATTCTCTACAACTTTGGTTTCATTTAAGAGATTGCTCAAACGTATACTTCTTTTATAATATTTTTATGCTATTCTTTTTATGATGCTTTTCTTTTATAATATTATTTATGCTATTTATTATCCTAAAACTTTTTGTGCTGTTGTTTGATGTATATCTGTTAATTTAGTGGATACTTTAGTGGGTTTTTTCGCCTGTTTGTGTCCCAAATGGCAAATAAAATAAAATAGAAAAAAAAGCATTGAACATNCTTTGAACGACAACAATTTTCATGGATTGTGAGTTGAATATAATATTATAAGTTTAGCTAACAGGAGAGTATTAGCGGATGTTATTAACCTGTATAAAATTATTAATGGTAAAATTGACTGTGTCCAATTAATTAGTAAAATATTTTTGAATATACCATGCAAGCCGTTTAGGTCCTACGACTTATTTTTCATCCCTTTTAAGCATACCAATGCCTCCGCAAACTCTCCCGCGTGCATAATGAGTTCTTATAACGATATTTGTAGCGGATTAGATTTATTCTCTACAACTTTGGTTTCATTTAAGATATTGCTCAAACGTATACTTCTTTTATAATATTTGTATGCTATTCTTTTTTTTGATGCTTTTCTTTTATAATATTTTTTATGCTATTTATTATCCTAAAACTTTTTGTGCTGTTGTTTGATGTATATCTGTTAATTTAGTGGATACTTTAGTGGGTTTTTTCGCCTGTTTGTGTCCCAAATGGCAAATAAAATAAAATAGAAAAAAAAGCATTGAACATTGATTCCACCATAATGTATCTTAATTTCACTGTATTTATGGAAGATACCGGGTAGGAAAGTACCGATGTTCTATCTGAAGTTACGTGAGAGCGATAAAGTAAGTCATAGAAATCCATGCGATAGACAAGGATGGCTATAATGAAGGCGTCTCATAGTCACCGCCCGTTTCGCCCTTCCACAAATAAGATCCACTTCCACTTGTAATTCAGCGACCGGTGGTCATCTTTGTTTTCGTC